ATTTTAATGGGGAGAAACTCATCAACGTGAATAATCTGACATTTATGGTACTGTATGAGTTATATGAGGATTATGCCATTCCAGTTACGAACAGACATTCAGAACCTTAAAAGCAGGCTTATATGTTTTTCATAGCTTATTTGTTATTCAAAGGAAGATTGCAATAATGTGGTTTTTATTACCTATGGCCTCCAATGGGGGTTTGAGACTAGGTTTCTATTTGGGTTCTGAAAGTTGGGAGCTCCTTTGCGGCCATATTTTCATTATCATTTCTGTTCTATTCAACCTCCCTAACTTTATTTCTAGTTTGGTATTTCTTAAAGTGTGTCCCGTGGGCCACCTCCATTAGGATTATCTTCCAGGGATTTTTTAAGAATGCAGACTCATTTCAGAAATGGGAATAAGAAACATGCATTCTAGAAAAGCTTTACTGGTAATTCTAAAGTTTGAGAAATGCTGGAAGTTTCAACCAGCCATTGTTTACCTCAATTATACATGTCACAGGTCATCTCATGTGCTTCTATCAAATATTTCACTTTCTTCCAAGTATAGAAAATAGCATATAGAATATAAAAGTCCCAAAGAAGCACTTAGAACCCATATTTCAAATCTTTTTTTGTTAATTAACTCCTTTCAGTTCAGTTCAATTCAATTCAGTCGTGTCCGATTCTTTGTGACCCCATGGACTGCAGTATGCCAGACTTCCCTGTCCATCACCAACTTCCTTGCTCAAACTCATGTCCATTGAGTCAGTGATGCTATCCAACCATCTCATCCTCTGTCGTCCCCTTCTCCTCCCGCCTTCAATCTTCCACAGCATCAGAGTCTTTTTCAAACATAATACAAATAGAAAGACCTTCTACTTAAAGTAATCATTTAGTATAGATTTCCATATGAAGATTGACTAACTCCTGCTAAGCATGCTGTCTTATCATATAATGTGCTTATTCTCATCCAGAAAGTGAGTGTAGACGCCGTGGTGTAGGGACACAGAAGCGCTTCAGATTCTCACCCTTTCACTTTGTCATTTGAGACAAATTATGCGAGTTCTGCTTGCTTCAGTTTACTTACCTTAATATGGAGTTACAAATACTCATTTAATGATATTATGAGATTAACTTATTTTATTATTGTAATATCAGTCTTTTTCTTTCCTGCTAAAAGCCCAAAACCATTTCTGTGGGAGATCTCTGCTTATTTGTATCATTCACAAAAATGGCAGAGGGGTAAGAAGCTGCCCTAGGCTTTGCTTCTAAACATGCTTTAAGACAGAAACTCACAAAGGACAGTAATTCAGATAATGAATTTTTGTGCTAAAAGATGATGTTAAGATTAAAGTGCCAGTGAACAGAATTCTCTTGATAAAACCCCAAACTGTAAACAATAATGTTTAATAACAAAAAAAATAGTTAAAACAGGGAATTTGGCAGTTGCTTCCCACGTGATAGAAAAGATTCTCGAGCAGATCTTGTGATACACATTTGCTAAACATGTGAAATTAGTGGGTCCATCTGACAGCCATTGTCTTTAAGTCTCAGAAATGAGTTTGTGGGTGAAAACCTTTCCCAGAGACTAGTGTAAAAGTTTTATTTCCTTAGGAGCAAAAATCAAGATAAAAAATCGAGTTGACCTGCTATAGGAATAGGTCCCCCCAGTAAACCAGGGATTTTTTTTTTTTAAGCAGCAGTTATTTTCATGTAATGACTTTGATAGAAGTGAAATGTCTGGGAATTTATTTATTTACTTATTTATTTAATGACTAGGCTAGAGAAAGAAAACCTTTTGACCAGTGAGCACGAATGGCTCCAGGGACACACCTGACTGTCCATCACATGGGAAGCGTGTCCAGACAGGTGGCCGCTCTGGACACAGCTCCATCCCCGGAGATAGAGGGAGGAGGTGCTGCCGGGCCTGGCTGGGCAGCTGGGCAGCCAGAGGCAGTCTGGAGAGAGACCGCTGCTTCTTGTGGCCAAGAAAGCGTGTGTTGAGTCTGTGTTTCAGGTTTTTTCCCATTTGAAATTATTTGTTCATCCTATCAATCACTATTCACTATTTTCTTTTTTTTTTTTTGAGGCCCTCGGGGAAGCTGACAGGGTTACTATTTTTAGCTCCTCTATTGGATTAACACTTCTCTTTCCGGCTCTAACAAAGCAGCACTCCTCACAGGTTAAGATGTAGACAAGAGGCTCAATACTTGGGAAAATTCTTGTGGACTCAGCAAGGCACTTTGACTAATTTTCTTTTTCCCATAGGAATCTGAAGAACTCTTTCAGGATACTCAGCTTTTTAAAACAGCATTCTTCCCGAGGGTCTTTATATCAATCATACATAGCTCCTCTCTTCACCAGAAACAATGGGCGTTTTCCAGGAAGTTATTGTCAGTGACCATAGGAGGTGGAAAACCTCCAAAGAACCATCCATAGTCTTTAAGAAATGATAAACTTTTGGAAAAAAAAAAGTCCATTATTAAAAACAAAAATTCCTCCTTTACAAAAAGAGATGCTTAAAGCACCAAAATCCTTTCTAATAAACCTGGTAAAACATTGCTAATAAGTGACTTTATGTTTTTTGGAGAGAAAGTGTAGCCAGAAAAGCTCAAATAGTAATAAGAAACTGGGAAAGCAAATCTTATTAGTAGGTCCAGGTACAAAAATTACGAGGTTCAATAAAAAACAAAGCCAGGAAAACCTCTTGTTCAAAAATGCAGGGGGGAAATGTAGTTAAAAGTAATAAGTTTTACTCTTTAAAATATTTTAGTACTTATAATAGGGGTAACAGTGATACTTGAGTCACAGTATGGACATACACATTTTAAAAATAATACTTTTGGTGTTATTTTGCATAATATAGTAAATACCACTTTATTAATGTGACGTTAATTGATTATATGATTTTTCTAGCTCACTTTACTGGAAAGTCATTTATTAGACCACTGAAACTTCATTTTCAATTGCTGTGCATGTGTACCTCATTTTATTGCCCCTGACACATTCTCTGTTTTGTATACATTGAAGGTTTGTGGCAACCCGGGGTCAGGCAGGTATATTAGCACAATTTTTCCAACAGCATTTGTTTACTTCATGTCTCCATGTCACATTCTATTAATTCTGACAATATTTCAAGCTTTTTCATTATTATGTTTGTTACTGTGATTGATCGGTGATCTTCAGTATTACTACTGGAATCATTTTGGGGCACCACAGTCAGTTCAGTTCAGTCGCTCAGTCGTGTCCGACTCTTTGCGACCCCATGTCCTTCTCCTCCTGCCTGAGGAGGATCTTTCCCAGGATCAGGGTCTTTTCTAATGAGTCAGCTCTTCACATCAGGTGGCCAAAGTATTGGAGTTTCAGCTTCAGCATCAGTCCTTCCAATAAATACCCAGGACTGATCTCCTTTAGGATGAACTGGATGGATCTCCTGAAGCCATAAAATGTGGTGAATTTAATTCATAAATATGTATGTTCTGACTCTTCCACTGGCCAGCCATTCCCTCATGTCTCTCCATCTTCTTGGGCCTCCTTGGTGCCTGAAACACAAGAAAATTGAAAATAGGTCAATTAATAACCCTACAGTGGCCTTAAAGTGTTCAAGGGAAAGCAAAGTCAATTGATGCCATACACGTCATTGTTGTCTTATTGTAACAAATCACCATGTTTATCCCAATCTTCAGCGAGCACCATCCTGATCAGTCATGAGCCATCAACATCGAGGTAGGACCTTCCACCAGCAGAGATTATAACTGTCTAAAGACTGAGAAGATGGTCAGTATATTTTAGCAACAAAGTATTTTTAATTAAGGTAGGTACTTTTTAAATATATAACAATATTATACACTTAATAGAATGTAGTATAGTGTAAGCATGACTTTTATATGCACATGAGGGTTAGTGTTTGTCTCTCAGTTGTGTACGACTCTTTGCAACCCCATGGACTGCAGCCCGCCAGGTTCCTCTGTCCACGGGATTCTCCAGGCAAGAATACAGGAGTGGGTTGCTAGTTCCTTCTCCAGGGGATCTTCCTGACCCAGGGATCAAACCTGAATCTCCAGCATTGCAGGCAGATTAATTTAAGTGTAAATTTATAAAATGTCACTTTAATGTTTACTCTGAAATTTTCTGAAGTTGGAGTTGTAGACGAAACTGAAAGGGACTTCATTATTTGTATATAATTTGAAATTCCTGTTTATGAATTTTATTACTATAGCTTCAATTACAAGGAAGAAAGATTTGTCTCCCTTAATGATAAGTGGTTTGTCTGAAGCTGCATGGGCTTCTTTTCCATAGAATATTTGCTCTTAAAATGTAATTTCTATTCCTAAGCTTGTGGATACTTGCTTTGTAATGCACTAGCTTTTAAGACCAGAGACACTAAACTCTTTAAAAAAATTCTGATAACCTCCTGATAAGCATTATGGTGAGGACCACGTAGTCATGTATGGAAGTGAGAGTTGGACTATAAAGAAAGCTGAGCACAGAAGAATTGATGCTTTTGAACTGTGGTGTTGGAGAAGACTCTTGAGAGTCTCTTGGACAGCAAGGAGATCCAACCAGTCCATCCTAAAGGAGATCAGTCCTGGGTGTTCATTGGAAGGACTGATGCCAAAGCTGAAGCTCCAATACTTTGGTCACCTGATGCAAAGAACTGACTCCTTGGAAAAGACCCTGATGCTGGGAAAGCTTGAAGGCAGGAGAAGGGGACGACAGAGGATGAGATGGTGGGATGGCATCACCGACTGGATGGATGTGAGTTTGAGTAAACTCCAGGAGTTGGTGATGGACAGGGAAGCCTGGCGTGCTGCGGTCCATGGGGTCGCAGAGTCGGACACGACTGCGCGACTGAACTGATGGCCACACGCACAGCTGTATTTTGTAATAATTTACTGACAAATTCGGCTGTCTGCGTGCTGGTAGTTCCTGTCCAGGTCCCGGCTGGAGAGCTGATGGTCGTGCAGCTGCCACAGGGACCAGCTCCAGAGAGATGGGCACTTGGCCCCCCGCACCTCATCCCAGGAGGTCCCGAAGTGCAGCATCTCTGTCTCCCACAGCTGTGGCTGCCATTTCAGCCACCAAGCTGACCCAAAGTCCCGTCCTGGCCACCTCCTCGAGGGTCCACCGCATCCCACGCTGCTTCAGGGCAGTACCGCGGCACTTGGCCAGTGGCCTGCGCAGGCGCTCGGGGATTGTCCGTGAGATCGATCCTGCGCATGCGTAGGCCCACAGTCGCAGTTCCGCGGTGCCATCTGTCTTCACTTGAAAAAAACCAAGTTCAAAAATAAGGTTATTTCCAGACAAGGCAACAGCGCATCAAACCAATCGTGAGGCCCTTGTCAGCACACGATGCTGCGCAGCTGCTCTGGACACCCAGAAAGCCAGCTCTGTCTGCGGGCAAAATTACCTAGAAATACGTAGTGACCTCAACTGTTTGAGAAACTTGTTGCTAAGATGCAGATGGGACCGTAGAGATATGAACCGATTGTGGAGGGACCATCAGTGGACCATCAGTGGGAAATTATAAAAGAATGTTGAAGAACAGCTCAAACTATGAGATTATTTTCATATGCATATATGGCCTAGAGGCCATTGATTGGTGTTACTCATTTTTTTTTAGCATAAACTATAATCACAGTATATTGTGAATAATTTCCACATCTAGTTTCCTTAAAGAGTCGGAAGTTCAAGACATTAGTGATTTAATCTGAACACAGAAGCCTTGGATAATTTTTTTCTCTCCTGTTATTTCATAGTTGCCTTTTCCATATTTTATTTGAAAACAACTATTTTTAACAATCTAGCTTTGTAGTACTTTCTAGAGTACTAAAGAGTATTCAATTCAGTTTTCATAGAAATGTTTCTTTTGGGGGCTCATCTAGTATTGGTTTTTGTATTAGTTATTCAACTGATTTCAATTACAAGTTCAGCTATTGTAATCAAGATTGGGAGCATACACAATGAACTCTTTAGTGTAAACAATTCAACTGGAGAGAAGATAGCAGAGCCCTGAACACTTGAATATATCACAGACATCAACCTGATTGTCTTTACAGGGAAATTGAGAGCATGGGTTTCTGGCAAGTCAGTTAAATGGAAGTTGATTAAGAATGGTTCTACTGTAGCAATTCATCTCTGCTGTATATAATGTGAGATACAAATATTTAGCTCCAAACACACTTTTATAAAGATCTGTTCTCAAAAGCATTCACAGATAATTATTTTGATTTTACTTAAAAAATGAAATGATTGAATTTAAGTAGTTCTCTAGTCTTCTAATGATTCACAAATCTTTATTTATTTATTTTTTTCCTTATTCTGCTTTGTAAGCTTCTTTGAATCTTAGAAGTTAGCCTATGTATTAGGTAGCCAATACATGTGAAATTGGTTTCTTGTTTGAAGAATGCTCCCCTAAGCCTCTAATGTCACCCTCTGTGTGTGTTTGTGCATTTGTGTGTCTCTCTGCTCAGAAGACTTTGTCATAAAAGGCACTTGTTAGGCGAGGACATTCACTAACATTTCACTCGTTAGGTGAAACAGACATTACATGGTCCTTGTTTCAACTGAGTGGCTTCTTTAATCTTCTGGATAGTCTAATTTTTTTTTTCTCTTGGGTGAAAAAAGCATTGTTTTTATTGTTCATTCACTAAGTTGTGTTCAACTGTTTGGAACTCCATGGACTGCAGCACGCCAGACTTCACTGTCCTTCACTGTCTCTCGGAGTTTGTTCAAATTCATGTCCATTGAGTCAGTAATGCTATCTAACCATCTCATCCTCTGCTTTCCATTTTGCCTTCAATCTTTCCCAGTATCCGGGTCTTTTCCAATGAGTTGGCTCTTTGCATCAGGTGACCAAGATTTTGAAGTTTCAGCTTCAGCATCAGTCCTTTCAAAGAAACAAGCATATCAACATCTAAATGCACTGTGTTAGCTCATAGCTGACTAGTTCTTATCAAATGGTGCTCTGGTGTCATGCCATTGACATGGATTGATGGGTCTCAGAAGAAATACTGGAAAACTATTGTTGCATTTTTCATAGACACATTTTTGAGGACATAGTTCAATAAATTCAATAAGTCTTCTGTATGAGGGGCTACATGTAAATTTCTTTACTATCCTAGTATGAGAAAAAAGCTGTGGTTATTTCAAAAGACCATTTCTATGTTTTTTTTCCTATGATCAGGCACTCGGAGTCAGATCATTTACCCTCTGCTAATTACTGCAAAGGAGCTTAGCACATGTGTTCATCAGCTTCATTTTTTCAAAGCTATAGTTTTTCCAGTAGTCATGTACAGATGTGAGAGTTGAGCCATAAAGAAGGCTGAACATGGAAGAAATAATCTTTTGAATTGTGGCACTGGAGAAGACTCTTGAGAGTCCTTTGGACAGCAAGATCAAGCCAGTCAATCTTAAAAGAAATCAACCCTGAATATTCATTGGAAGGACTGATGCTAAAGCCGAAGCTCCAATACTTTGGCCACCTTGTGCAAAGAGCCAGTTCATTGAAAAGATCCTGATGCTGGAAAAGACTGAAGGCAACAGGAGAAGGGGACGACAGAGTATGAGATGGTTGGATGGCATCACTGACTCAATGGACATGAGTTTGAGTGAATTCGAGACAGTGAAGGAGAGAGAAGCCTGGGATGCTGCAGCGCGTGGTGTTGCAAAGAGTCAGACACGACTGAGCAGCTGAACAGAGGCATATTCAGCATATTTATTTTTAAAAACTTGCTACAACTTATTAACATTTTAATGCACGTAACTTAAAGTCATTTTTGTAATGGACTAGAATTAAAATAAGCATGTGTCCTATTAACTCATGAGCTCTTTTTTTTCTCATTTTCATCTGCGTGTGTTTAGTTATTATTATCAGGTGCTCCTAAGGAGAAAGACCTGTTTTTCTGATGTTGGCAACTATGTTTCCTTATATCCACATGGTGCACATCTAAAAAAATGACCTTTCAGACATTCTTCTCACCTCGCTGAGAGGGAGGAAAGGAAAATATATTGAGAAAGTCCTGCTTGCAAAGCCCGGAGTATTGGTGTCATCAAAGGCTGCACAGCCTACAAAGTCTCTGAGGGCCCCAGGAGCCTGGCGTGGTGCCACCATTAGCCCTGTTATCCTGGGAGAAATTAAGTGCGTCTGACAAAATTTCCCGTTCGAGTTACCCGCTCCTGGTGTTCCTGTGATAGGGATCCAGGCCTGGAGCCAACATCAGGCCCTCAACATTCCGGTCGTGTCTCTCGGTAGAGTTCAGAAGTTCCGATGAGGGTCCTATTTGCAATCGCGGGTGTCCCCACTATGTTCCACGTGTCATGCAAAGTGTCATCGGCATACTGTGGTTAATATTTTGCAAAGGAAACTTTTTTTGGATCATCAGCTATTAGAGGCTAGCTGAGGGATGAGCCCAAGGGCTTTCTATTTTAATGAAGCCTGCCTGGTTTTTATGCTCTATTTCACACCACTTTCAAAATCATGAAGGCGCCAACACTGCCAGATGGGTCCGGCACTTGAAATAGGGAATTCTCCTCCAGAAGAATCTGAGTGGACGGACGATGCTACCAGGCGTGCTCCCAAGAGAGCAGACGTGGCCAGTGGGAATGACGGTGGGGTGGACATGCATTAAAACGGTTGACACTCTAAACACCCCGATTAGCATTTCTGCCAGATGCTGTCCTCACAAAACTTTTTAGAAACACTGAATAAAGTGGAGAGATGGATCCTGTTGGACAGAGCATTTGTTGCAGTCCATCTGCTGATGGTTACCTGATTGACTGCATTATGGGCAGTGATGAGGCTATTGTCATTTAAGGTAAAAATGCCAAAAAAAAAAAAAAAGACAAATGAGCTCAGAGGAGGATGCAGCTGTCAGTTCAAACAGAGTTGTGTTTTGTCACCTTCTTCAGTGAAAACGCAACTGTTTGAAATGATCATGTGTGAAATGATCATTGAAATAGGAAAAAAGGTCTTCTGACTCACTGATTCCAAACCGCATTCCTACATTGATGTATGGAGCTTGGGACTATGAGAATTGGAAAAATTGAGCCTGGAGGGTCTTGATGCAGTCACTGTATAGAATACTGGTTTGGGGGAGTTCCTGGGCTTCCCTGGTGGCTCAGATGGTAAAAATCCACCTGCAATTCTGAAGACCCAGGTTTGATCCCTGGATCAGGAAGATCCCTTGGAGAAGGGAATGGGTACCCACTCCAGTATTCTTGCCTGGAGAATTCCATGGACAGAAGAGTCTGCAGGCTTATAGTCCATGGGGTCACAAAGAGCTGAACATGACTGAGCGACTAACACTCTTGCTTTCTTTGGGGACACATGGAGGTGTTGGCCAATGAGGACTGCGGGCTCTTCTTTTCAGGTTGCTGTTTGCAAAGTAGGGATAGGAGATGGTGAACTTGGGCTCAACCGTTTGATGCGTCCAGCTGGCTTCCACAAACGTGGTGGGCAGGACCTGAGTGTAGAGTGAGTGAAATAACTCTGGAGCTCCCATGGAGTGAGGATGTGCATTCATACCTCAGAAAGTAAGGCCTTAAGTGGCCTCTCAGAGGGTTCCAGGATCTCCTGGCTGGAGACCCAGAGCAGGAGTTGGGTTCTCACACAGGCAGAACCCTTCAAAGGAGAGGAAGCATGATGACTGGGTCACAAAGATGTTGGAAGCCAAAGAGCGCACGTGCTATTTCACCAACACAAGGGATTTTTTTTTTAATGTTGAAAAGCTTTGATATCATCTTGAAGTGATTCTTTAAAGAAAAAAAAAGTTTGAATATTTCAATTTTCATCATTTTGCAATTTTAAATACAAATGAGTTTCAAACTGCATGGAATGAATGAGGTATTTTATGGAAAATGAAAATGGTTTATAATGCTATTCAGTTTATCCCTGAATGGAATCTTACAGATTGCCCCTAATTCTAATTTTTCCTTTTTTTTCCCCTCAGAGACTTAACATACCTATTTTTTAAACACCAAATTTCATAATAACTTTTTTATCTTTTAATTTAAAGTGACACCTAAAGAAAAAAGACTTGAAAGATATATAATGCCTGGTAGTGATGATCTCTGGAAGGTAGAATGATGGGGCCTGGTCACTCTTCTATATTTTTAAAATTATCTTCATGAAGGTTGTATTGCTTTTATAATCAGAACTAACCAATGAATACTATTTACATTTTTTTCTAAATAAGAATTTTGTTGTTGTTCAGTTGCTCAGTAATGTCTGACTCTTTACCACCCCATGGACTGCCCCAGGCCA